TATCATGAATAAATGCACTGCACATAGAATGTCGTGGATTATCAGTCACAAGTTAGAGTGCCCATTTACAACCATTTTTTGAAACGAAAAACTGTGGCGGAAAAAGTACACTTTAAAATCAACAGTTGATATACAAGCGTAAACTTGATTTATTTAAATTATAAACATTTTCCAACATAGCTGTTTGTTTGTGTATTTAAAGTTTCATTACTGTTTATTTTATCAGCTAGCTATTAACGAATTCCTGTGGTCAATTTTAAATTGAATTTTCGAAGTTTCTGCATTTATGAACTTTAATGTTAAAACTAAGCATAATATTTTAAATTTAAGTTTCAATTTTATTTCATGCTTAAAAAAGGTATTACATTAACCAATAAAAAAGGGTTTGTAACGACGCAAGCAACTGCAATGTAGAGAAATCGTTTGACGTAAGGGAAACTTGAAACTTTAATGATAAATAGACTATAATGAATAAGAGCCAGGTCAAAAGTGTATTCATTTTATATGTATATGTTAAGTATGCCTAATTTTGCTGGAAAAACAATACGACAACTAATGGAACTTACAAAGCAATTTGTAGTTGTTTAATTTCCTTTTTTTTTTTGAAAATTACAACTATATATTTATATTGTGAAAATTAATAATATTAATATATTTAATATTAGCATTTATGTATATTTATATAAATTATAGTTACAGCTACAGCTTAAACTGAATTTGGAGTGTTTTAGTGTTTCCCTTTATGCTTTTGTAACTATTTTCATCAGACCTCGAAGTTATCGATGCTTTATGCGATATATATTAAAACTTCAGTTTAAACTGCTGTTAACTACAGCCGGATGTTGATGTTGCGATTGTTGTTTTGCTTTTGTTGTTGGTATTTTTTTATGCATATATGACAAACTGCTTGTGGCTGTGGTTCAAAAAATAACATCTTATGCCGTTGTTATAGTTGTAATTGTTGTTGCTCTTGCTCTTGCTATTGCTGTTCTGGCTGTTACAGGCGGCAGTTGCTACTCCTGCCGCAGTGAATCGTTGGGGCGGTCACTGACAACACTGTTTGCGAACATCGGCTGTAACAGTGGGCTTTACATCGATGGGCTCCACATTTGAGGGACGAATAACATCACCTTCAGGAGGATCTCTAATTTGTTTCTGCGACACAATGCGATAGATCTCTGTAAGCGGAAATCCGGTTAGAATTTTTAGATTTACTTTACAGTAAGTGGAATTTTATACCTGTGAGTATATTTTGGAATGCGGTTTCAACGTTCGTCGAGTCCAAGGCCGATGTTTCTATGAAACTTAAGCCGTTGCGCTCCGCAAACAGTTTTGCTTCATCCGTCGGCACCGAGCGCAAGTGTCGCAAATCAGATTTATTGCCCACCAACATTATTACAATATTCTGATCGGCATGATCGCGGAGCTCTCGCAACCATCGCTCAACATTCTCGTATGTCAAATGCTTGGCAATATCGTAAACGAGCAGAGCCCCAACAGCACCACGATAATATGCAGAAGTGATAGCTCGATAGCGCTCCTGACCGGCTGTATCCCAAATTTGCGCCTTAATTGTTTTACCATCCACCTTAGAGAGCAAAAAAAAAAAAAATTTGAGTTTAAATTGCATTGCATATGAAATTGACTTAACACGGTTAGAGATATTTTAAGAAAATATAAAAAAATTAAAAATGAATTTTGTGAAATTAAATAAACTATAAAAAAAATGGCCTAATTTGTACTATATATTAATCTGAATCTGAGTAGAAAAATTTTACTAACTAGCCTTTATTCTTATTTTTATTTACTATTCGCAATTCATGGATTAATTGATAATATAAAAAAAATCTGAATTATGCTAATTTTGGCGATAGTATACTCTATTTTTTAAATCTCTCGATCTATTATGTATCTATCGATCAATAAGTTTCATCTCTTTCATTATGATATTTAACTCAGTTTTAATAAATATTTGATCCATTCATACATACAGCATAGATGGAGTGGGTTGGATCGGCATAGGTCGTGGTCCTAACCAAGAATGTATGTATTGGCCAACATTCGATTTGCCGATATAAAAAATCTCCATATATTAAGAACTTTTCGGTGATTTAGAGACACTATACTATGATATTACGTATGCATATGAACAACTGCAAATATGTGTATACATTAAATGTAAGATGATATTTGTCTGGAATCTGGAGCGCGGATTGAACATTTGTAGAATCCAAGTCCCTTCTCAACACACTTGTAAGAATTGTTTAGTTTTTCAATGGAAGTCCATCTGGAGATGGATAACAAACTTAGCCAGGCACACTTACCTCTATGCTTCGTGTGGCGAATTCCACACCAATTGTTGATTTGGACTCCAAATTGAATTCATTACGCGTAAAGCGCGACAGCAAATTACTTTTGCCTACGCCAGAGTCACCGATCAGGACAACTATAAAAATTGGGATTAAAGAAAACATTAACAGAAATAAAGCAATAATTGAGCTTCGTCTCTGTAGTTGCATAATTATTGGCTGCGCAGTTCGTTTGCTGGTGCATGGGGTCAACGGGTCATGGGTCATGGATAAATTCCCGTATTCAATTATTGACGGTGCGTGCCTGAAGGTCAACTAATTTCTTGTTATGCTCTTGTGGAATTTTAGTGATGGTGATAAAAAGTAACGCTTTATGGACAACCAGATCACTCAAATTTGTCAAATTTACTGATTCCTACATTTGAATTTTGCTACACTGTTAATAAATTGATAACATATTCGGCATAATTTTTATTGTCACATTTGCAATTTCTACTTCTAGCACTATGTGTTTTGTTTATCTAGTATATGATAATATAATCTCTGTACTCTCTCACACTCACACACACGCTCTCACTCTCTCTCCTTCCCTTCCTTTCTTATTCTATCACTTTCTTTCATTTTTTTTCTCTCTCTCTCTCTCTCTCTCTCTCTCGCTCTGTTCTCTGTTTTCTCTTACTCTGATTATCGCTTTCGAAGCTTTTTTTTTTAATGTTGTAAATGTGAGTTCTCAGTCTGAAGCTATCAGCATTATTTTTGATTGCTTGACAGCTGCTCACGAGTAACGGTGATTCATAGCTTTATTTTCTTTTTAAAGATCTGCTCTAGGTCCATTAAGTTAACACAACATCCATTTATGTAGAAGATATTTAGCGTGCTTCTACTGTCTGTCACAATGTACAAAGAGAAAAATGTATAGCAGATTTTGGATTTCAGACATGAAGTTACCAAGTCAACTAATCGCTTATCTTTTTTTTTACTGTGCGTCAGACTTTAAATATTTAACAAAATTCTGATAATTTGACAAATTTAATCCCACTTAATAGTCACAACACTCTCGCGCAATGCAATAATTGTTCAAAAAATCTTTAACTATATAACGGGGCGACTTCACTTTAGAATTGAGCATTTTGAAAGCCTAGTACCTAGTACCCTCGTATGCAAACGAGAGTACGAAGAGAAAATGCTGACCCCAAAATACCTAAGCACACACAAAAAAGCTGACAACAAAGAATAAGTGAGAAGTTTGTGACTGGCTGCCCGCATACAGCAGTAATTTATTTAAGAACTACAAAACTTACAATGTAGATGAATATGCTTTGAGAAAATTGATCTAGTCACACAGTGCAAGCAGAAAAAGAGTAGCTTTAGCATCCGCTGAGCGTCTACATACTTATAAACTCTCCGACAACAAAAACATGTAGTTTTCATTCAGTTTGTGAGCAGAGTGAGAGAGCGACAATAAAAGCAAAGCCAACTCATAACAGATGTGAGCGAAAAAAACATGCAAAAGAAATTGCAAAAATTCAATATAAAAGCTATCGGACAGAAAAAAAAACAATAATATATCCACATGTATATACTAAATGAGCTGCTCTTTAACCGCCGTCTAATTTAAAAAAAAAAACACACACACACACACCTAGTTTTTGTAGTTTTAATATAACTAAAAGCTAGTCAAAGTAAAATCATTGTTTTTACTATTTGACTCTTTTATCATGATTATTATTACGATTTATGCAACGTGTCACACTGGCTGCTGCCAACAGAAGCAAAGAACGAACAGCAATGGAAACGCAATGACAAACTGACAGCACTTAACGGCGAAGTAGTTACGGGTGTATTTGAACAAAGAAAGGGGACGATGAAGAGGCACAGCTATAATGTAAAGAGAGCACGAGAAAGCAAAAGGGCACACAACAACAACAACAATATACACACATAAAAGTCGTATAGAATTCAGCTAAGCACCGCTAGGGGGCGTATTTTGTGATATTGCCCTGAAGAACATTTTTACCAAATAACGCGATCGGAAATAATAATAAAATAAACGACATATGGACTTTAAAGCATAGGGGTCTGTGGATGTATGAATGCCATGTCTGCATTTGTTATGCCAATTAGTTTTAATTAGTGCCGTTGAACTACTGCGTCATAATTGCCACATTAAAATTGTAAGCCTTGTTCCTTTTCGAAATTCTCGAGTCCCACGACCAGTGAAACCAACCAACAACCGGCTAGTGGATAATTAATTACAAGCAACGCAACCTTAGATCCATGTTTATAATTTTTACCTTTGAAAAGATAATCGTATTCGTCTTCCCTTGCACCCATTTTGATGTGTGTTTAAATAACTTGTTCCTCCTGCTCCTACTGATTGGGATACTCGCGTGTGTGTGTCTGTGTAAATGTAAAATCCAATAATCCTTACGCGCCGCCGTTTCTTAATGCGTTTTTCTTTATCCGTGTATTTTGCTCTCACACTTTGCACACTTTTATTTGTAGTTGTAATCGGGACAATATAAAGAAAAGAAAAATTATATCAATTTGATTTCAAATGGGCGTTTGCAATTTTTAATCTTGCTTTCACGTAAGGTAACCGTTGTGCGACAATTACTGCAATAACAGTTGCCAGTTTGTGGGGCGTATTAATGCATTTATTATTAATTTTCTTAGTCGCGACACACACTCACTTAGACTTAGTCACTCCCAATATATTCAGCGACGTGAAGTAGGCTGCGGCATGTATGACAATGCAAGTGACAGCCATGAGTACTCGATACTCGATACCCCGCCATGTTGATGACGTCAGTGTAGACCCCCTATGTACGTTAAAATTTGATTTAAATCTTCTTGTAAATTGAACTTTCAGTTTTAGAAAAAGGCATAAAAATGCATTTATTAAAGTATATAAAATAAACACAAATGGAAAAAGAAGAACAGTAGGTTAAGTATTTAAGGCAAGTAATACTAGTGGTTGCTATTTGTTCAGTAAATGTACATTAAATTTTATATGTATATAATTTTGTTCTTATTCCACTTTTAAAGCAGATAGATAGCTTTAAATACGTGCACGCTGCAAAGCAAAGGCCGGATAGACAAGTAGCAGTCCACCAGCTATATACGTGATCTTAGAGCCCACGCACCAGAATGCTAAAAATAATTTAAAGATTTAATATAAATCCAATAGAATGCAGTAGATGAATAAAAATTACGTATTAGAGTGTAGCACTTACCTATAGATCCGACAACTGGGCCCAGGGCACGAGCCAGCGCACCTAGCGAACGGAATATCCCTAATACTGAACCCTTTTGATCATCGTTGCCATAGCGGGACACTAAGGTAGTCAAACAGGTAACTGCAAACGCAGTGGAGATTGCGAATAGTATCATGCCGGCATAAAGCATTCGACTATTGTCTGCTAGGCCGACTAACACGAAAGCAGGCACAATCAAGTACAGGCTGAATATGGCATAATTTTTTATCTTTGCTTCTGGTAGACGACGTACCACGGATCCCTGTAGCAGAGTCATAACGAGCCCTGTCGTTAAAAACATCTTGGCCTGATCCATCGATGTGTACCCGAACTTATGATACATCAGAAACGTAACAGTGAATTCCAATCCCGAATAGAGGAAGAGATAAAGAAAGTAAATGAGGCCAATGCTGCGTAGTGCTTGTATATCTTTTTTAGGCACATTTTTGATGGCGGCAAACCTGCAAAACAAAAGAAAGTTATTTTATACTATTGGGCTGGCATATGGGTTACAATGTAGTAAATTAATTATGGGAATTTGCGAAAGTAAGCTAAGTTAAGTATTAGGTATCTAAAATCCAAATCGTATAGAGCACTGTGTACTCCTTGTAGTGGGGTATGTCCTACCTCATTCTGCCTATTACATATTATGTTATATATTATTGGAATTTTAAACAGTAATCATAATATTTATATCTTCTAATATATTATAAATCCATATATTTATATTCTACTATACATTTGTTAAGCACATAGATGAATCAATTTTTTGATCACAGATATTAAAGTGTATTAGCTAGGAATTTTGAAACATATTTATTTAATATTGTGAAAGAACATAGTCTGGAAAAAGCGAAGAAATCTATAGATGTGAATAAACAGTTTTTGTTTAACTTTTAATATATATGGAATATATAATAGCACTCATTTTGGGAATATTAATATGTATATTTAAAAAAATTGAAATTTTTTTTTTTTTCTACAAAACCTACCTCTCTGAATTTAGGACATATTTAGAGATACACAAAACTTTGATATTATATAAAAACACTAGTTAGCAATTTAAATATACAATTATGAAGACAAATAATAAATAAATTATTAATATAGTTATCACATAGTATAGTGCATCGCAAGTCGAATAAATAATAGGTTATACATTGCACCTTTATGTTTAGTCATTTCACTTTATAATTGAGCGAAACAAGTAATCATGCGCATTGATAAGGCAAATCAAATAATGTCCAGCTAAAAACGTGGCCAAGTAGGGCTAAGATAGCGGAACGGATAGCGGGCCATCGCAACTAAATAACCTGTTGGACTAGCAACTGGGCAAAGCATATATAAAAAGACTTGCGATTTGTTTCGAAGATGTGTTCTTTAAGTATATAAATAATCGAATGGTAATAATAGTAATAGTACTCACTTAAATATGGAGGAGACGTTGAGCAATTGCAGGCCATATGACAAAGCAGATGATATTTCGGGAGCACGTTTCTCCTGCACAAAAAAGTAAAAATAAGAACTTAAACAACAAACATACAACATACATTTAAAGAGTCACTAAAATACCTCAGGTAGTGTTTCCCGCAAACAGAAAGCAAGAAGCAGCACATCTCCTAAAGCCAAGCCCAGAGCCAAGAGGGAGGGCAAAACAAACCAAGCACCGCCGCTGGCGCTTTTATTCGAAAATATTGCAAACATAGCACCTATCATGGGACCCACAATAAACCCAAGGGAAAAAGCAACTCCGACGAGAGCCATGCCTTTACCACGCGTCCGTACGCTGGAGACATCTGTGATGACGCTCATAGAGAGGGAGATGTTGCCTTTGCTGATGCCGCCAACAACGCGCGCCAGCACAAATAGGGCGAAATTGCGGGAGCAGGCCCAGATAAGATAGGAGAGAGCGATACCCGACTGAAATTGGTAATATTAAATTATAGTAGTACATTGACTGGAGGTTCTCCCATGGTAACAAACATACGGCACAAATGAGCAGAACGGGCTTCCGTCCATAGTAGTCCGAGAGGCTGCCGACAATGGGGCTTGCCAGGAATTGTAAAAAGCTAAACATTGAGCCCAAGAATCCACCAAAGAGCACTGATAAATACCGTTCCGGAGCACCGAGTAGCTGCTGGAACCAACGCACACGCGTCGTCAACCAGGCATATAAGCCGGAACTATCATTTATGCGATAATACTCCAAGAGCGAAGGCAACAAAGGCAAGATGATTGTAAACGCAAGCAAATCAAAGAGGAGTGACAGGAATATTATATATATCATGGGATCAGTTTTCTCTTTCGGCGCAGTAGGCTTTCCATTGTTGTTATCTTTGTTGTTGCCTTTGCTTTCAAACGGTTGTTCCGTTTCTGGTTCTGTTATTGTTGTTGTACTGTGGCGACTCCGAATGGTGGCCATGTTATTCTAGTATGGGTGCTAAATTGCGTGCGTGTACATAAATTGATTGTATTATTGTTGAATATGATGACACGGCGTCGACCGCATAACTGTTTATGCGCCCAACTAGTAACTTGGCAAAACAAAAACCAATACGCCAAGTAACCCGCTAAGAAGCAACAGAAGTGAAAGTTGAATTCGAGTGGTTGAGTTTAAGCAACGTTCAGACGGTATGATGAACATTTGAATTGAGCAATTTCGTGTTGTGCTTGCTAGCTGAAAGTACTATTTTTAATTATCTAAATAAATAATTATAAATTGGAATATTTTATAGCAACTTGTTGTATATCTCATCACAGCGCACTAGACAATTGTCGATAACATAAAATGGGATCAACAGGTTGTTTCAGAGCTGTATCGTCTACGCGCCCCGCGTGATTAGTGCTGCACAACGTTCGTAAACAGCTGTGCCAAGCGCGTTGATCAACACGCAACAATCAACTGAAATAAATAGGAAATTTTACAGAAGTGCAATATATTGGTTGGGAAAGAAGTAAAATAATGGCTAAAGTGACGGTACAAGACATAGAGGCCGTTGATGATTATTGGGGGCCCACATTTCGATCAATACTAGAAGGTAAGTCTGCATTTGTCTAGTTACAGCGCAGCATGATGATTAACGCCCACTTTACCTCGTCGCAGGTAACAATACCAAGGCAATCAGTGAGCAGTTGGAGCAACGCATACGCAGCCACGATAAGGAGATCGAGCGTATATGCAACTTGTATTATCAGGGTTTTATTGACTCCATACAAGAATTGCTCCAGGTTCGTACGCAGGCCAAACAGCTACATGATGAAGTCCACTCACTGGATACATCGCTACGCACCATAAGCGCGTCACTTATACAGCAGGGAAACGAGCTTGTGCGAGCTCGTCAAATCGAATCAAATGTGGCCAGTGCCATTGAGGCGCTTAAGTCCTGCCTACCCGCTTTAGAATGCTACATGAAATTTACACAACAGGCCAAAAACAAGCAATATTATCAGGCACTGCGCACGCTAGAGACCCTGGAAACGGAGCACCTATCGCGCCTAAAGCGACACAACTATCGTTTTGCCACACAAATGCAAACACAGATACCCATCATTAAGGAAAATATTCGCCGCTCATCGGCGGCAGATTTTCGTGAATTTTTGGAGAACATACGCAAGTTTTCGCCGCGTATTGGGGAGCTGGCCATCACCCACACGAAGCAACTTCAAAAGCGTGATATTAATGCCATTATTCAGGAACACAAACAACAGAGTAATAGTGGTGCTAGTGGCGATGATGATGGTGGCAATGTAAGCGCACAAAACTTAATCGATTTCTCACCCATTTATCGCTGCCTGCACATCTATATGGTGCTTGGGCAGCGTGAGTACTTCGAGAAGGACTATCGCCAGCAAAGGCGCGATCAATCGAAGTTAGTTTTGCAGCCTCCACCAAATATGCACGATAATCTCGAGGCCTACAAAACATACATATGCGCAATTGTGGGCTTCTTTGTGGTCGAGGATCATGTGAAGAATACAGCAGGTGATGTGGTCACGAGTAGTTATCTGGAAGAGCTGTGGTCAACATCGCTAACCAAGTTCGTCAATGAAATCAGCATGAGCTCCTCCTCATGTACAGATCCAAATATATTACTACGAATCAAAAATCTTATTATGCTGTCTATAAACACCTTCAAGTGCTATGGCTACACGGTACAAATTTTATGGGAGCTGCTGCATGACATGCGCGATCATTACAATGAGGTAAACCGATAAAATCAGATATTAAATAACCAAAATCATGCCTATCCCCTTTTTCAGGTGTTGCTGCAACGGTGGGTTCACGTTTTCCGTGAGATTCTGGACAAGGAGCAATTTGTGCCCATGGTTGTCGAGAACATAGAAGAGTATGAATGCATTATTGAGCGATTTCCATTTCATTCCGAGCAGTTGGAGAATGCTCCTTTCCCAAAACAGTTTCCATTTTCGCGCATGGTGCCTGAGGTTTACCATCAAGCGAAGGAGTTTATGTATGCTTGCATGAAATTCGCCGAGGAGCTGACACTGTCACCCAACGAAGTGGCCGCCATGGTGAGAAAGGCAGCCAATTTGCTGCTAACCCGCAGCTTCAGCGGCTGTCTTTCAGTGGTCTTTCGCCAGCCAAGCATTACACTGATTCAACTTATACAAATCATAATAGATACGCAGTATTTGGACAAGGCTGGCCCTTTTCTTGATGAATTTGTCTGTCATATGACGAACACGGAACGCAGCATTTCGCAAACGCCTTCGGCCATGTTTCACGTGGCCCGGCAGGATGCCGAGAAGCAGGTGGCAGTTCGTATATGCTTCAAAATCGACGAGTTCTTCGAATTGAGCGCCTATGACTGGCTGCTGGTAGAGCCACCCGGTATAGCCTCCGCGTTCATCACGGACATGATCTCGTATTTGAGGAGCACCTTTGACAACTTCTCATACAAGCTGCCCCATATCGCCCAGGCTGCCTGTCGTCGCACCTGCGAACACATAGCCGATAAGATCTATTCGATTTTATTTGATGAAGAGGTCAAACAAATATCTACGGGCGCACTTACACAAATCAATTTGGATTTGATGCAATGTGAATTTTTTGCCGCTTCGGAGCCAGTGCCAGGTCTTCGTGAAGGAGAATTGAGCAAATATTTCCAACGCAACCGACAGCTCCTCGACTTGCTTATATTGGAAGAATGGAGCACGTATTTCCATGACTATGGCAAGCAGGAGAATCGATACCACTTAGTCCAACCCCAGTCGATAATCACGATACTGGAGAAAATACGAGAAGCGGACAAAAAGCCAATTTTCTCTCTGGTGCGTAAAAATGATAAGAAAAAGCTACTTGAGACGGTTCTAAAACAGCTGAGGCATATAGCGGAGCGACAGACTTAAAATGCATTCAAACAACACTGTTCAACAAAATGCAACTTTTTTCAGGCTACGATCTGATCGTTGCTTTACTTTACCCTAAGTGGTCATTATATTATATATTTGTCTTTAATACATATTTATGTAGCTTTTATTGTTGTTTGATTTACTGAAAAACAATTAATAATATTGAATCGATGATCGTATTAAGGATTGTAATTAAAAGAAACAAATTATTTATAATATAGAGCACCAAGATTGAAAAGTTTTTATTTTTTTAACACAAAGTCAAAATAACGATTTGATTATTAATTCAGCTATATCTCGCGTATAAGGAGATAGGAATATTCTTAGGCATTAGTTTCACCAGCACACATTTCATATTGCATGGACTCGTTCGAAAGATATATTCCTTTTGGATAGTGCATAAATTGACAGTCGTAACAGATTAAGAAGCATGGAGCATATTAATGAGTCAGATATTTCAGCACTTCTAATTTAAAGCAGTAAATTCTGAATAAGCAGTTATTTGCTAGAAATTAACAAAGAATTAGAGAAAGCAATACCCGAGCAGAATTCATGCTGTGCCAAAAAAATGTAATCTCTCACACAAGAGAGTTTTTTAACTCATCCATTCATTTAGCACCATTCCATTTTCTTTCTGAGAAAGTTGATAAATTTTGTTGATTTCGCGTTAACAACTCGTATTTTTAAGTTATCTGAATCAAACGAATGAAGAAGTCTGTTTACCTCTAAACAAAATATTTTGTAATACAATGAATGCATTTTATTTTTTACTATGTATTCATTATTAGTCGCATAATATAAATCGCAAATATAGTATATATCAGATTGTTATTTTAAAATCAACTGACAGCCCCCAAAAAATATTTGATAATAAAATTTAATGGGGTTTCCATATATTTTTTATATTTTCGTATTGGCAATTTGAATTATGAATACACAAAGTATATTCGATGTATAAATTTGATTAACTATATTTTATTTTTATTCATATGAGCTTTAAACACAGTTATCAATCATTTTTGCATTTGGGATTTGCGAGTCATTTCAGTTTATACAGAATATTCATTAATATTAGTTTCCTTTTGCTTTCTGGAAGTGTTTCTAGCTTGAATATGATTTCTATTTAAATGTTAAAATTGGAAATTGGAAATCGGAATTTTATATTTATATACAGAAAATGCGTATTATAAATTTTTAGCTTTAACTCAGCTCAAACAGAAGAAGAAAACGAAACACGCAAACATGAAACAATAAACGAAACCAAGAGCTAATAACAAATTGTATATATAATTTATAATGTATACGTAAGTTTATGTCTGTGTATGTGTGACTGTCTGTCTGTGTGTATGTGAATATATACCAGCAAAAGGTTGTAAACTAATTTCTATTTTACGTATCGTATATGCATCATTCAGGATCCGGATTGCTTTTGTCAACTTTTCGTCTCCAGATGCTTGGGCGCATCAGCATATGTGAACTTCAAGCGAAACGCCTCAGCGAGCAGCACATTTATTTGTCGATCGGACCAATTATGCGTTGGCAGATTTTGTAGCAGCAACATAAGACCCTGCACAATATAAAAAATAGTTTAATAAGCTGATAGAAGCAAATGAGTTATTTCTAGCTATAACAGCTATTTCGTAAAGCCGATCATTCTCATTAAAGAGATTAAGAGAGTTACCTGAAAGTCATTCTGTTGCATTAGCTGCTCCTTCCAGTGCAGCAAAAACGCCGCACACACATACAGATGGAAGAGCGCAAACCCATCCGATTCGGCCAGATATGTGTCCCACAATCGGATTGTGCAGTGGAGGGGTAGCTCGCGTGTCAGTAAATTGTTCATCCAACGAAATGAGAATTGTAGATAGTCAACGCCATGTGTCTGTAGATGACGATGCAAATTGACTGCAAAACACAAAAGGCATAAAATAATCAATAATATATTACAATCCATTATTTAATATAAAGCTCTAGATTTCAATACAATGCACCAACGCAAAGATATTTATATATGTATATATGTATATACATTATATATACTCTATATATATAAATGGAGTAACGCTGTTGTGTTAATAGAACTTACCATCGATACGTTGTATTAAATCCTTCAGCTGATTAACTTTCTCCTGTATGCCCAGCTGGGCAAATATGTAATTATCCTGTATGCAGTCAAGAAACTTGGATAGGCACCAAAAGGAATCGGCTTCGATAATGTTGCGCGTTTCCTCTGGCAGTTGTGACATATCGTATTTCTCAAGATCTGTATCCGGCGTGAGTGCTTCCTGCAGAAAGACTATGAAAAACGGCGTGACCAGATCGTTGATGCCTTGCACATAGCCGGAGGCGGGGTGACGAATGGCCCATATGAAGAGTACACGCTCGAACATTTCCTGCACGAGCTGTTGCTGGAAGAGCGGTATTTGTGGATTCATGCGCGGCACATCGATATGTATCTGACGGTACGTGTCCTGTTGCGTTTCATCCTGGCTGTCCACCTTGAAATAGTTGTGTCGCAGATCCTGATATCCTTGCCGTTTACTCTGCAGCACGGCGTTTCGCCTCTCACTTGATGGAGGCAAATACTTTGATAGCAAACGCCAGCTAACAGCGCGCATCTGCCGGAAAAAATATTATTAAGAGTTCATTGTTTTTCTTTCACAGTCCGCTTTAAGACTTTACTTTTCGCGGCACGCCCGACCAGCTTAGTTTTTTGAGCGCTACCAGATCCAACTGTGGCGAGTCCAGCAGCAACTGAAACTTTTCTATCTTTGTCTCGAATTCCCCATCTTGCGAATTAGTGCTGATTTTCTGCAGCTGTGGCCGACCGGGATAGTTACGCAATCGAGATCTGTAAAGAGTTTAAGCCGTCAAATCAATCTGAGCAAAAATGGGAGCTTGTCTCTGAATTTAGATTTAAATTTAAATGAATCGCTATTGTATTAACTGTTAATACAGGTTTTGGGATATATGTACAAATTACGCGGCAAATTGGGGATTAGGTAAGGACGATGACGACATTCGAACATAAAACGAGCTTTACCAAACTCCTCTACCACTGTGTTAAAATCAATTTAATAGTTTCTTAGCTTGCAAAAATTGCAAAGTCAGCCATGCATTTACACAAATTAATAAAACATTTTTATCAACTTCTTTCAGTTTGCAGTTATGATTTAAATATACATTGTTTACACAACTGTGACAGGCTGTTGATTGTAGAATGTTGACTTTTCGATGCCCACCTGTTTTCGTTGCTGTCATGCGATGACCTGCGGTCCTGCTTAATGTCTTCCGCATAACTAGCAGCGCCTGGAATGAGATCCGCATTGCTAGCCTGCACATCAAGCATTTCACTGCTGGTTGAGACGTGATTTTGATTGCTGCGCGAATGCGTTTCTATGACGTTAAGGGCTACAGTTTGTGAAACCTGTCGCGATATGCGCGTGGCATCTGAGAAAGTAAATGTTCAGCAATGAATAAATCAGCTTTTATGTGTTTGCTGTTTACCTCCAACTGCTGCGGCGGCGGCGGCTTCGTTGCTGCTTATTATGCAAAATTCATCGTCACCGGTGTCCCAGGCATCGCTCACCGATTGCTGATAGTCCCGAAAGGTTGACACCATTCCGCCAGCGGCCGCACGATCTCCACGCTGCACCGCTGTCCCACCTCCACCGCCCGACTTGCCGATGTTTGTGTTTGTGTTGTCGAGAAAATCGCGTTTCGGACTGGGCCGCCCGGGCACTGCACGGCCGCTGTTCTTCCAGAACGATGCTGAGTTGGTTAAAATGTTTGTGACTGACCTAGCGCCAATTGAAGCGCTGTGTGTCGCCGCAATTAATTCGTTCGAATTAGCTGTTGTCGTCGCAATTTTTTGTTTTTCTTCTATTTGCCCTACATTATTGTCCATAATAAATATCGAAGTCCGATGTCAGTGTCAGCGTCATTGCATTTGTAGCGGTGTGACCAGCCACGCAAAAGCAATAAAATACCGTGCCTACGGCCAACTGTCTGTTATTTGTGTTATTTTTAGTGAATGGGTAGCACTGGGCATCAATGTAAATAAAAAATAATTTTTTTGCCATTAAAATAAAAGAAATAATTTCTAAAACATATGATTTATTATTGACAAATTTCAATTACAACAATCTTGTATATGTTTATGGTTTTTCATATTCTTTAGTAATTGAATTGAAAAATTACTGCAATGACTTGCACTTATTATTATTCATTATTCACATTTTTTAATAATTGATATTATTAATACATAATTAATTATATTAAATAGCATTCTTGGTAAAAAGAAAATTACCATATGTCACCGGAATAAAGAAGTATAAAAGTCTTACACTTTTTGTTAATCGGTCACACTGCAATTGAAGCAAGTATTATTTGGTGTGATAAGGAGACGGATTTCATTACTCTTTATAAAATTGCGTACCAAAATATGCTTCTACGGAACTAGCAGAGAGAAAAGTTCGGCCTAAAAATGCAAAAACAAGAGGAGATCACTACGCGCCTCAAGAAGATCTTCGATTTATTTCTGCGCGACAACTTTTCGACAACCGACAGTGTTTACTTTGAAAAGCTCATAACGCAACTGCAAGCAAAGGGTAAGTTTGTTTGTGTGCGTGTGTGCAACAGGCGGGCGGCATTTCTAACATTGTTTTTGTGTTTGTTTTCCGATAGAGAATGCTTTTGTGCTGCAGGTGCCTTTCGTCACGGATTGGGTGGACAAGTGTCTGACTCTAATTAGCGCCGATTTCCATCGAGTGCATCCCAAAGTGATATCGTTTATGCTAAATCTTATCAGTTTCATGACATCCAACGAGTGGATGGTCCTGCGGTTGCGAGAGCTAGACATAATGCATAGGTAATGGCGCATCATCAGCTACAACTTTGTTGACATCATTGTACGAACTTTTGCAGGGTTGTGTTCTTTATGCAGGCGCAGGAGCGCAACTTTAACCCTTCGATTAAGCTGAGTGGCATCCGCGTGATGAAGGCCGTCACAAAATACAGCATGGGTCTGGCATTTCTGCGCATGCAACGCACCTGGATGCTGCTCATCAACTATAGCAACAACGAGCACACGTTATATGTGGTGCGAGAGGCTCGAGAACTGCTTTACGAGATGATATACAAGTTTTGCGATAAAATGCACGACGAGGCTGTTACCCTAGAGATTTTAGCAGAGATCATGAAGCCCATACAGGAAAATGTCTACATAACAGAGAATACCAGTGAAAGTACCAGCGGCAAGGAGGAGCGTATTCATGTTATTGTGGATGATAACGAACTGCTGCACAAAATCTCCTCAACGGTGGATCTTCTAAGCTACATACTTCAACAGACGCTGCTCAGTGAGGAACGCACGAAGCTAGTTTCGCTGCTTCGAGAGCACCACAACATAGACATAAACATCTGGAAGCTCGTTGAGATGACACATAATACTTATTTCATGGAAAAGATGCTCAGCGCGCTTTGCAGTTATCATTTTGCCACGCTACTTCACGAGAAAATATTGAATCCCGATTGTGGGGAGCCACCAGAGCAGTTTACCGAGTTTGGACTCGCATTTTTTAATCTCATGAAATTCTGCATACAGCGTAATGATGGAATCAACTTTGTTAAAATGGCTGAACTGCATCACATACTGTGGAAGAAGCTTGGCAATCGGGTGCCTAAGGAAATCATTATACAAGACGAACGGGTTTCATTTGAGAATCAGTTAATCTGCTTCCATATGATGCCGTTGCTCTTCTCAATGAAATTTGCCATGAAAATGGCAGATGAGTCGAAGAGCGAATTATTCGACACGTATATTATAAAACTTTTAGAAATGTCCTGCGAGCAAACGTTGCGATTGTGTTATGCATTAAGAGATACATTTATCACGCCTGAAGGTCGCACCAATTGTAACTTGTTCACACCTGAGCTGGCCTGGAAATGTGTGCACAGCATTCTCTCATTGGAACATATACTAGATCGCGAGCAGGCGGTCACCGTCTGTCAGGCCTTGTTGTATGCCTTGCGTGAGGTTGTGGCCCTCAATCATGCCAGCACTCACGCAGAGCCAGAGGATTGTCATGGTGCAAGTACATCGAATAGCTATTCCGACATTTATCCACGTGGCTCGGAAGTTATTATCAAGGATCCCAAAGTGTTACATTCCGTGATGGTTGGCCTCCGCACGCTCATCGAGCGATTCAAGATCACGTGGAAAGAGTCTGTAGAGACAATAGGCCTGGTTAACTGCTTGGCATTTGTGTTGGAGAACTGCAACATGGATCCAACAGTGAATAGACTGAATTAAACTTTAAGAAACTAGATACTAAGTCTTATTTACTTGCAGTGTACTGTACAGGCCCTGAAGCTTGTTCAATTGGCTGTGGAGCATTTCCTGTCCCCCAATATGGCATTGCTTGTCGATAATCTACAGGGCTCGGCATTGGTTTGCCTCGGTCCGATAATAATTAAGCGAATGCACGACACCGCGTGGGAAGTGCGCGACTCTGCCCTCGAATTGACCACATCCATTGCCTGTATCTCTCGCATAAGTAATTGCTATTGACACTCTTGAATAGCTCAAGTCTAACTAGTCCTGATATACATATTTACAGAGTTTCCCGCATTCCAACAATTTCTGATCGATGGCAAAATGCCAACAATCGTTTACGAAATGGCCAAGCATGACAGTGAGCCATACGTACGTGCCTCTGCTTACAAATGTCTGTCGCAAATGGTGCCCATCAATTCGATATGGGAGAACGGACTTAGCCAATTGGATATGGTGGTAAGGATTGGATATTTATTATAGAATAAGTAGCAGCGTGAAATTTGTACGATAGTAAGTAATATATGCTAGAGTACTGCTTATCTGCAAATACTCTCTTTTAATTATGAACCAAATTAAGTGGTGTATATAAAAAATTCAATTTTCTTTGCAGGATCATCTGCTCTACGTGCTTTATCGCGAGAATGAGGATATTGTGCGCTCCGAGGCCATTTTAACTCTTAGCAAGATCTATGATCATCGCAAGATTCCCAGCAAATATAAGAATACATTATTTTCAACGCTCAACTATTGCGTGGTTGGGGATCATCACTGGGAAGTCAAAGTGAATGCGCTTTGCTTTTGGCGTATGGAATTCAATCGGCAACTGAACAATCAGGGCATGATTGATGGCTCCTTTCCCACCGTCACGTTTTCCAAAGAGCACAAAAAGATAGTCACACTGACCAGACGTGAGGTTAGGCTGCGCGTAGCTAAAGTTTTAGCGGAGGTACAGCAGTACGGTTACTATGGCATTATACTTAAGTGCCTTCAAGAGGAATATTCCAAGGAGGTGCTGAGTCTAATAGTGACAGGCATCAAAGCAATGAACGATAAACTAGTTGAATATGACTTTGAGATCATGTTAAATGAGATTGAAGCGCTAACTCCGCCCATAAACAGTCCCAATTCTGACCCTTCATCAACGGTCGAAGAGCCAATGTCAGTTGAGGAGGAAGTGGAGGAGTCTGAGCTAAATGTGAATGCTGAGCAGACAGACGATATTATCGAATCTATATTAAATGCACAAGACGTTCATCTATTGGAGAATGCATTTAGAAACCAAATGCAAATCGATAACGAGGATACATCGAAACGTCATATTGATGAATTCTATTATAAGCAGTTTGCAGTTTCTGTGCGTGAATGGAAACAACAAATTAGTAAATTCGATTTGGATAAGCTCGTCAAACAACAGGAAGAGTGGTTTGATTGCAATGATAATTTGGTTTGCCTTTTGGATGACATACTGAATGCTATAAAACGTGACGATAATATGATATCTGATTGCTATTAATTCAGTCAAAGTTGTCTAATGCTTAGCTATTTAAGCAAAAAAAAAATTGTTTTCCTCAAAATAAAAACTATTTTTTCATAAATACGGAGATTTTGAATTGGGAGCGCTTTTTAGCAATAATACACATATAGATTATTGGTACTCACCACAAAGAAATACAAGTATGTACATAGTTTGGCTGGATTGATTGCAATGCACAGCCCTTTCCGATATCAGAAACATAATTAAAAATTAAAAATAATACATTGGTGCCTACTTATAATATTAAATATAATAAACCTTAGAACCGTGATATATTGATTGAAAAACCGCCAGCTGGTCTTGAAAGAAATATTCACTTTCTAAGTCGTTATTTTATTTGGCATAAATTAACTTCCAATACCTTCAGTTTTTTATATTTGTATCAAAGCAATCTTAAATTTAAAATTTAAGAAATATATATACATATATTCATCAATGTTTTAAACGACGTTAATATTTAAATCAAATTAACATTTATATTGATCGATAACAAAATTACAAACTATGATAAGTATCAGATTGCAGCTGGGCTCATCTCTAAAAACGATAATATTTCATGTGTATTTCGAGCACATTACTCAGCTGGCAATGTTATTCTATATGTATTCAGTTAATGCTTTAAAAACAGGCAAGCATACAAAAAAGCCTATAAAATGGGTACCTGAAATGGAATCTGTATGCAAATCTACACGGACTTAACCAAAATCCGACTATAAGTTAATCGTTAACTAAATATTATGTTTACCATGCGATATTTGAACTATCATAATTGTGTGACACGGTTCCATCTCCGTAATTTCAAAATGTTATAATGTGGTCACACTGTTTGACCGACACAGTTAGTCATGGTGGAAAATTCGAGGAGAGCGTACCTATGCGCAAGAATAAGCTAAGAAGAAAAAAGTTGAATATTGATTAAAATTTCTGCAAAAAAAATATATATGTAATTATATATTGTAAATGTCTTTAATTTAAGTGATATAAATCAAATATTTGTGTAACGTTTAATATTTTAATACGCGTCAAAGTACAACGAGTGAAGCTAATCGCACACAAAGAAAAAAAGCAAAAGCACCAATTAAATATATAAAAAAATTAACGCAAAAGCGAAAACTTTTCTTGTGTGTGGCACAACTACAAATTTAAGATTGCAAGCGGTCGCCGTGTACTTTGCGAAAATAATAAAAAAAAAATTGTAATGAATACAACGTTAAACAGAACCGAATCAGAATCAGTTAATAGTGTGATTTTTTTGAACCTTTGTCTGTAAGTGAGAGGAGAAAGCTTTAAGCGGAATCCCTTTAAGCAAACATCCCGTCGCCATTTTGAAAGTGATTTTATATACATACAAATAAAAATATATATACGTACACACATACACATAACCATCAGAGAAAATAAACAAAAACAACAAACTATTCACGATCCCCCTACAGAATAACTATCGCAAAAGCAAAAATAGTTGAACAGTGAAAACAAATTCCTAAAAATAAATTCACAAAAATTAATAATCCGTATAACAGAAGTGGAAAAGAAAAACCCCCCGCAGCTGCAAAGCAATCAGTAACTGCGACACACATACAGTCGTCTTCTTCACTCTCACACCGCGTTACCAAAATCAGTGAGTGTGCGAGCAAGCTAGACTGAAGCAGCAGCAACAGCAATATTCGTGTGAAAAGGTTTACAACTCAAAGTAAGTCGCAAATGTATTAGTGTATTGTGTATAGAGTTTGTCTTTACATATGTGGATTCATTAATACACGTTTGACGTCGTTGCAAACATCACATACATATTTTATTTCAAAAGGCAATCAGAAAAAATTAATGTACGTGATTCCATAGCTAAATACCTACAAGTAGATTATTTGGCATAAATAAGGTCGACACATTGTTTAAACTTTCTGAAAATGTACAACCCTTTTTTCAAGTGTCAAGCAATGGACGTAAATAGAACATACATCGTATATACATACACATATATTTACTCACATAAATACATGTATACATGCTATGCGCATGCATGTATTTATACAATGTTTGTTTGTAATTTGCTTATGTATTTGTGTTCGCTTTCGTTACGTTTTTTGCTCAACAATTTTTTCCCGTTTGTTTTCTTTCTATTTTTACTTACACCAATGTACAGGACCCGGGACCCAGGCTTGGATGACAGCTACGACAAAGGCAAAAAAAGAAGAGAAAAAAGAAAAGTAAGAGAGTTGGAAAATTAGGGCTAAGAAGGATAGCCTAACAAAAAGAGATAAATCAACAGACTGATAAACAATACATAAAGTTAAACTATATAAAGTATATTAACTAAAGCTGTATATATATAACGAGACACAAACCGAACCCAGCAGCTACAGAAGTAAATAAGAAGAAAATTGAACAACGTGAGCAACCGTAAACCCGTTAGCCGCTACTATAGGATAGATTGAGAGTGGAGCAGGAGTTGAAGAGGGAGAGAGAACGGTAGTAGCATCGTCGAAGCGAACCAGAGTGACGAAGGAGACAACGGATACGGAGGAAGCAAGGTAGCAGCAGGTCGCGTTTGTTATCGATAAATAAAAAGAAAACTATAAATAAAAATTGATTTTAAGTGCGTGTGATATTTAACGTTAAGCATTAATTTAGCCAATAACCAAAAAAAAAAAAAAGGCAAAAAAGCAGAAATTTTAACAAAGAAAGAAGAGAGATAGATCGAACGAGAAAGGAAAAGAGGAGAGAGCGCACTTTGGGTTAAGCTCAGTTTAGATTGAAAAAGAAGAGGAAGAAGCAGCAACAGTGTTGGAGAAGCTTTTAACAGTGAAAGCAACGAAAAGCAAGAAATTACTATGACATACTCGCACAATAGTGTTAGAAACAACATCAAAATGACAACAGCATCTGCAACAAAGTCCATACGCTTGAAAAAGGGCGCCACAACCCCATCACCGCCCCCAACATCCACAACAACAATAGATACAGCAACACCCACGGTAAATGCACATTCCAACAGTATTGCCAGCAGTACAAACTTCAGCAATCAGCACTTCCAGCAGCAGCATGTTTTAAGCACATCGCCCACCCACTGTGCCCCCATCACGCCCAACAATCGCATGCAGCAGCAGCAACGCCTGCAAAGCCAATCCGCAGGCGCAAATCAGCGTAGTCGCCAGCAGCGACAATCGCCCCAGCAGATGGGCGGTGGCGGCTTCTTCTTCGCGAACAATAATCGACGCAATGGCGGCGGTCCCCGATCGCCACAGTCAGCAGCAGGAGCGGCAGGAGCTGGAGCAACCGGCAGCAACAACGGCTATGTACGCCAATCTCCGGCTACGATTTTGGGTGGCGGCTTCTCACCGGCTGCATTTGGTTCTGCGCGCAAGCAACGTCGCAGTCCAACAACAACACCAACGAGCAGCTTTGGGGTGGGCGGGAAAATATCACCACAGCATCAACTGATACCCACCGCCTTGACGCATTTCGCTGGCAGCAAATGCTTCGATGCACCAGCACCAACGGCATTGCCCAAGCCGCCGCAGCACTGGACATCACTGTCCAAATCCGAGGAGAAATTGGTAGCCAGCAGCGCTGGCACCGCCTTGCAGAGTTTGTTGCGTGGCGGCGACAGATGCAGTGCGTCCAAATTGCAGCAGGGCCATGGTGGCGCCGGTAGATACGTGGTGAAGTCGTCCAAGCGCAATCTCCTGGATGATTTCGATACGCACAATCTGAAACTGTTGCTGAACATGCAGTCGTAACGCAGGAACCACATCTAGAACTACAACAATAAACTGAACATGGAGGACCCAACACGAACCCGTCAGACTTGGAAATGAGAAAGGAAACGATAAACAAAAATAATAAAAGGATCAAAAAATATAAAAATTGTAAAAACTACACTTTANCAACGTACCTTAAAGATGATGAAAGAGTAACTGTTGAGAGATGAGCACACACACATAGAAATTGAAAACTGAAACCAGAAAACAGCGAAAAGGAAGAAGGAGTATGGATAAAATTTAAATTAAAAATCTTTAAAACAAATAAAAAGAAAACATTTATAACGATAATAAGAAAAATGATAATAATACCACCCACCAAATCACAAAAGACTAATTCAACAAAAAAAAAAAAATAAATGAAAATGAAAATGAAAAAAAGAAGAGAAAGAGAAAGTAAAGAAAGACGACAAACTCAACGCTGCAGCAACAGCAGAAGCAGCGCAAAATGCATTCAACTTGCCTAATATATATTTAAAAGAAAAAAAAAACACACACACACACACTCATACCCACACACACAAAACGAAACTCAATGGCCTCTCTACCTTAAGATATCATATAAAACAATCACCACAAATACCCACACACTAGCGCCAGCCTCACTGGGTATATACATAGATAGGTGTGTGTACACTCATACACACATAGACACTCAACCGCCAGCCTCACATACATGCATATATAGTAGTTATATATGTATATAGCATAAAAACTTCCATTAATTTTAGTTTTAAAAACGAAAACATTGTAAAATGATTTAAACACAAAAACCAATGGCTTTAAAATTATAATTTAAACATTCTTGAATTGTATATAATGTAACTGTAAAAAAAACATAAAACCAAAATATATCTTGAACGAAATTGCCTATGTTTATATAAAATTTATATTTTGATGAGCAATTTTTTAGCGCAGGCGCAAACATTTTATTTCAATTGCAAAAATAAATGGTTTTTGCGCCCCAGCTAAAGAAAATTACAAAATTAACAATTTCGAAAAATTGAAACTTTGTTGCAATTCTCCACACCCCCCGCAAAATACGCTTTATGTAAGATTACGATATGCTTAGAGTTAGAGAGGAGGGTGATAATCAAACATTTAAAAAAACAAACTACTTTCTGTGTAAACTATGCTCATATATTGAAAATAACTAAAAATACGAGAGACAAAAGCAAGAAAAGAATGAAAGATGAATGATAATGAAGAACGAAAAAAAATGAAAAAATGAAACACTTGAACCCAGTACCTTATTTTCATTATTAGCATTTAATATTAATTGTTAATAATTAATATGTATGTAAATTATTTAAGCATAAAGTGCCCAATCTAACCTGTGTCTATGTATACCCCACCCTTCCCACACCCCGTTCCACAAATCCCAAAGTTAATTGTATTTTGCGTAAAATATGTGAAGAACTTAAAAAACAACAACAAATAGAAATGTAAAAAAGCAGCGTGAGTTTTGTTGTTCCAAATATTTTCTTTTCCTTTTCTTTTTATTTTTTTTTTTTTAAATTTTTATTTTTTTTTACATGAATTGGCTCTTTGTGTGATATGCCAAAAGAAAGGAAAGAAATCCCGCACAATTTGATTTTTTGTTCTACATTTGTAGATAGTTTGTTAGTTAACTTTTCGCTACAGCAAAATTTTTGAAATGGAAACGAGATACGATGATGTTAGTTTTTAGTGTTGAAAAGAAAAGCCAAAAAAGTCATGCATTATTGATTAGGTTTACTTGAGAGCAAGTTGTCATATATATTGGTAGCTTTAAAGCTTGTATTCTTCAAGTTACTATACATACATACATACACACTCAGACATACACACACACATATAAGTTTAAGGCTTGTATTCTTCAAGTTACTATACTCACACACACACACATACATATACAATCACACATGCATGTACCCATACATATACACATTTACACTATACTACTAAGAGTATTTTATGAGGCAATTGTGTTCGAGCAGTGCTCAACACTAAGTCAATAAACTAAAAACTACACAGAAATACACACACACATACACTCATTTGCATGCATGCATATATACATACATACGTACAGTTTGAGGTAGCTGAGAAGAACTCAAGAACTTGTCGCGCAGAATTTTGCATTTTTTTAAGAGTGTAAGCTATTAAAAAATAGAAGATGAATAAATAAATAAAAAATAAAAACATTTGTTACTGAACGTCAATTTAAACAAAGCGTACATTTGATAAATATGAAAACAAAAACAAACCTATAATAGAAAACACAAATACTATAATGAAAAACTGTACCCGAACCAAAATGGAGCACATCTAGCATGTGCTTTTTTTTTACTTGCCTTCGAGTCGTATGAGCGCCAAACTTTGATAACTTTTTAAATACAAAAAAAGAAAACACCAATCAGTACAAATTAATTTCCATTTTAAAGTTTTGGAGCCTTTAAGAGCCAGGCCCCTATTACAAAGTGTGTCGCACCACGATTCGAAGCTAAATAAAAAATAAATGAAATGAAAGAAAAGAAAAGAAAAAAGTTTTAAAAAATTGTTAATTTTTTATTTTATTTTTTATTTAATGACGTTTTGAAATGTAAAATCAGCAATAAAAATATTTGTATTGGAGTTCGAATATTAATTTTACCATTTTAAGCAGAGATTTGTCAGTCTTACCTATATATATATATATATTAATTTCTTCATC